ACACGTGCATGGGCCTCAGCTCTACTTTGACAGTTCGCCTTAAATAGAAAGTAAGCAGAATGTTTTCTAACCATTGTCTTTTTTCTGGTCAACATCTGAGGCCTGTACTATGAAGCAGGATTAGGGATTTAGATTTATTGTATCACCTGCATTGTGCATTAAAGCTCTTCATATTTTTCCAATTTAAACTATGTTTTGTAAAATATGATGCTGTGCTGACAGCACACCTGGCCGTATGTTACCAAGACTGTCCCTTTACTTTGAATGGGCTCACTTAGATAGCTAAAGCCTGAGTTACTTCATTTGACTACTGAACACCTTCATGTAACCATTTAATGAGGCTTATGTTGTTATAGTTTTTGCTTTGTCGTTTTTCAACAATCTTCTTGTGGTGTGTCTGTGAGCAACGCAGTGTCTGCACATGTACCTTTATCACAAAACGTATCTAAAAAAGCTGCACTAACGCCAATTTATTCCCGTTCTTTTAGTTAATCTATTAACAATGTCAAACAGTTTGACAGGCTTATAGTATTTTTGCACCAAAAAGATGCTTCACAAAGAGCTAGTAGCTGGAAACTTGGCACATCTCGGGATGGTGTACAGTGTGTGAAATGATGAAAACTAAACATTAAACACTTACAAGGTGAGGTACTGAGTCTCCAAACTTTGTATGGTACTGATTGACAAAACACTTGACGAGCCAGTAGCAGTCAACAGGATCATCTACAATCTCTTCCATGGCTCGGCTGATGGAGAGGAAGTCTTCATTCTCTTCATCCTGGTGAAGAAGAAAAAAAAACAAAAGAAAACATATCAACAATACAGACCCAGAGAAAAACACTTAAAATAAAATCTGTACTTTTTATGTGGTCATTGTTTCTTAACGATCAAACAGCTATACAACAACACTTTCATTGAATAGAACAGAATCTTTATTGTCACTGTTACAAGAACAATGAAACACAGTTTGGCATCTCTCCGTTGGCAGCATGTAGATTTACATTCAGTTTGTTTAAGGACAGGAGAAGAAGATAAAAATAGGCATAGGTTTTAGGGGTATCTACTCAGGGAATGTGTGTGACACACAATGTGTGTAATACTATTGACAATGCCTTGGTTAGTATCATTATTTTCAATCTCACATGTCTGAATTTACAGCTATTTTTTCATTGACATACTGTATTAACACAGCTGATCTAAAAATCACACACAAAAAAACTCCCCATAAAAACCTAGTCGGAAAAAGTTACCAGAGGGGATAAATTCAGTTTTAGAATTTAGATTCAATGTTAACTGTAGCTAAGTTCAAATTGTTAATGCTAGCTTATTTTAATCAACAGCATTGTCATAAGCAAAACTAGGGTGGCAAAAGATTATTTTAGGGTGGCACATACCACACCATGCCACCCCTGTAGATTGGCCCTGTTCACTGCAAAACCAAGACGCCGCGTGTTAACATCTCCCCACACACCCAAACAAAAAAAACAAAAAAAAACAAACAGTTAAATAAACCATCTGTGATACCTGTGACTGTTCTTGGGCAGTTGTTTTAGTCACTATCCAGACTTTTGTTTCTGTAGTTTGATATCATCACATTTTTTTATTTTCCAATTTTTAGATGTTATAAGCATGACATTATAATTTCAATTGCTTATTTTGTCTTGTGAATTCTTGCTTGATGTACTTTTTGTTGCTATGATCTTTTGTTTGATCTTGAACTCTGCTGCTCAACCCACAAATGCATTTTCTTTACAAATGTGGCACCATTTAAGGGGAAACAAACAGGCTTTCGAACAGTGTGAGAATTATTTCTTCACTGTTACAAGAAAGAAATATGTGACAAAACACAAATTTACATCCTTTTCGCTTATTATGGACTGATATACTTTATTTTACCGGGGGTGAAGTCTCAGAGCATCGCGGGAGGGTCTGGCTCTCCAGTTGGAACATCCGCAAGTAAACATGGGTGGAGGGTGTGGAGGAGTTGATGTATCTCATCACTTCCAGAGCTTCCAGGATATCCTGATACTGCTCCTTCCTGTAGCCCCCAACCAGAGCATGAGAGTCACTGTGTGGAGGTAGGATGCCTGCAGGCACAGATGACTTCTAGTTAAGAAATGTATACATACACATTTAACAAAACTGAGTTAATTTTAAAAAAGGAGTGCAGTGTTCAGTTGTGTTGGACAGATTAACCTATTTAGCATAAATAAGTTCCAAACAAGAGAAATCGAAGTAAACGAAACATGTGTTTACATGCAGCTCTTAGCCTTGCATATGGCTGCATATGTCTATACTGCAAATCACAATTACTGAAAATGAATATTTTAAATATAGCTTTTAAAAAAAATCTTTAAAGACTAGTGCAGTACAATAGCTAAGTGATTCTCTCCCGTATTTTTTGTTTCTACCCATCTAGTCAAATCTGCACAACTGAAGAGGGTGACAGGGTGAACACCTGATCGCATGTGATTCTTACCCAGCAGTACCTTCCACACATGAATCCTGTACATGGAAGGAAGGGGGAACCTCTGACTGAAGGTGCTTAGCTTTTCTAAATCTGTAAGAGAGCAAAACATTTATTTATTTTTTTGGTCTGGCTTTTTCCAGACCAAAAAAAAAAAACATGAAAAATGTGTGATTGTACATGCATATGTGTGCATGTGTGTGTGTGTGTGTTCCGTGTTCAGCCAAGAGAAAGTGTCCCTTCAGTCAGTTAGGCAAAAGTCAGCAATCTTAGGTCGACACAGGTGGTCTTGAATGAGGGGGGAGGCAGTCACAACACAGTCTTGTTATCTAAGGGAGAATTTTTTTATTTCCATCAGCTTTTGCCTTGAGCATCCAGCTGGCGCCAGGGGGGGCCGCATGAGATAAAGATGGTAGTTGTTTTGGTTAGCGGAACAAACAGCTTCCAATTTTACAACCAGCCTTGTGGGATTTTGAACAGCTGTAGCCGCTTCTTGTTCTTCAATAAGCCAGGCCCGAGCCAGCTCCAATCAGCCAGAACTCTGCTATTGTGGTTCCAAATTGGTAATGTCGTTCAATGTCCTCCATCGAGAGTGTCATCAGACACATGATGCAACCAACCATCGAGTACCCGGCAGCAAACGTCTCCACAGGACAATTGGGCTCTCCCAGGCCCAGGAGTTGTCAGTTTCGTTAAGGGACCAAATCCATAATTCTTCTTTAGGTTTTTAGAGAACAAGTCTGGGAGACTCTCTTAGGGTTAGAGAATAAGCGAGACTATACAAAAGACACGAGAAGCCAAGCTGGAAAGATAAGGGAGAGGGAGAAGGAGAAAGATGTACTCCATTTTACAGTGTATGACTCAGGAAAACAATCCTGCTCAGTTATTCATTCAAGTTTGAGATCTGTGGCAGTAAAAGAGGAAAATGTTAACACTGGAATGTTTTTCCTCCTTGGAAACCTGCAACATGACCAAGAAGGTGCCCTTCATTTAAACGTTCCTCAGTTGTTAGTAAGGGACCCAAAGTGTGCGAAGAACATATATCTCAAGCCATTACACACCATCAACACCAGCCTGAGCCACTGACACATGGCAAGATGCATGCTTTCATGTTATGTGCACCATATTTTAACCATTCATCCGTCTACCATTTGAATGCTGCAGCAGAAATCAAGACTTATCAGATCAGACAATGTTTTCTACTGTTCAATTCCAATCAGCCCATGACGATTAGAGTCTCCGTTTTCTGTTATCAATTGACAGGAGTGGCACCTTCTGCTGCTGAAGCCAATCTGCTCCTAAGTTTTACATGCCGTGCATTCATATTGGCACTTCTGCATAACTAGTTCCAATGGGTGGTTCTTTAAGCTACTGTTGCCTCCCTATCAGCTCAAGCAGCCTGGCAATCCTCCTCTGACTTCTGCCATCAACAAGGCATTTTCACCAAGAGAACTGCTGCACAGTGCATATTTTCTCTGCAAACCCCTGAGTGGCCTGTGCCACTCCGATGGTGACAAATCAGATGATGCAAACAACCATGCCGCATTCAAAAATCACTTAAACCACCTTTCTTCATTTTGCAAGACTCAGTTTGAACTTCGGCAGGTAATCTTGATTATGTTTACATGCCTAAATGCATTCAGTTGCTATCACGTGATTGGCTGATGAGATATTTGCGGTAATGAGTAGCTGAACAGTTGTCTTTAATAAAGTGTTCGTAAGATTATATTATAGCATAGCATTGGCTTACAGGTATATTGTTATTGTCAGTAGTGTAGTGCGGACGCTTAGCTAGCAAGAGACTTTACACTTATGCTGCCTATGCTAGCACGAGCGATAATTTTCCGTTACCCACCCAGAGGATTGTCTTTGAGTAGTATTTCCAGGGACTTCTTCTCCTCCACTCCTCTGAAACCCACTTTCTCGTAGTATGCAGAGCGAAAATTTCTCTGTGGGTCGTCAGCCATGGTGCCGCCTGGACAGTTAAACATGTGCATTTCAAACTAAAGAAAAGCAAACTTTTAAAAGCAAAGTATTAGTCCGTTTTAGCCTGCATAGACATAAGACAAAGTTTCTCGTCCAGACGTGCAGCTTGGGGGAAAACAGAAAAATGTTTTTAATTTGGCTGACTAAAAAAGTTAATTACGACGCCCTGCAGTTTGCTGGAACACAAACACAGTGAACACAAAGACTCCTGCCTTGACGTTTCAAAGCGTTTCGTGCTCCCTCGACCCTCAGACAGCTGCCCCACAGCTATTTGCTACATAACGTCAGCAAACAAGCTAGTGTTAGCTTAGGAACAGATAACCAGCTAAAAGCATAACTACTCTAAAGTAAAAATTATCTGAGAGACTACTAAATAGTATTAAAGTGGCCATCACAACCAGTGATAAGAACAATTTAAACAGATAAAAAAATCTACAGATAAATTGACAACCTCCTCCGGATGCCATACAATGTTGTTATGAAAACCCTTCCGGGTGATACTGTCAAAATAAAATCCGTAGCAACGTTCCAAATATGAAAAATATTTTTATTTTGAAAATATAGATTACCATGCTACACCTCATATACGATTGCACTTTCAACTCTGCTTGCCTTGCATTTCTTGATCTTTATCTTGCAGGTTATTTATACTACATTATTTATAAACAAATAACTAATAAAGAAAAATCAACAAGCTTCTTTCTTTAAGGGAAAGGTGTGTCACAGCTTTCATAACCCACTTAGAATACTATTTAGATTTAGATTGCTACTTTTTAGACTTCCTATATTCATTTTATTTTATTGAACTTTGAACTGTTATTGAACTGTTATTGCCTGTGTTAACTGTTTGGGTGCTCTAACACCAGTTGTTCAATTTTATTTCTTTCAAATCAAACCTTAATCTGAAAAATGCATTTGATTACTTGTGATAATGCCAAGGCTGAAGCAATAAAATACAAATATCTCTATTTTTTAATCTTTCATTTAGCATTTTATATAGATGAAATTACCACAGCACAAATGTATTGTGCTGCAAATTGAAAATCAAACAAAAATAAAAAACAAATAAAATGAACAAACATATCTTACATGGCAGCAACAAAGGGTATTTTAGATGAACACAAATAAGAACAGTCAGGAATGAGCAAAAAACTCAAGTTTTTATTTTAAGATACTGGAAAAAAAAAACGTTACAAAAGTGGAAGCACTACTATGCAAGAAACCAATGAATGAATAAAAGATGACTTTATGAAAATGATGAAAAACAGCAGTTAAGCCAATGCAACCCAACTATAAATCCCTCCCTGTAAACCAAACACACAACATGTCAAATAACTGTAAACACTATTCTATCATTTTTCAAATGCAAAGCATACAAAGTGATATTTTCATTAATTTTTGAAAAACAAATTAAATGACATGAACTATATTATTAATCCACACACCTTATTTTAGAAACCATTAATACTTTTGTCCATTAAAAAACAAACAAACAAACAAACATCTTGCAGTTTTTCTGTATAATTTGAACTATAGATTTTTAAGCACATCAACACCAAAGCTTACTCTAAAAATATGCGAACATTTAACAATTCAGACTGCTAAATATAAATTTTCTCCTCACACAGAACACTAATTTTTTCCACAACTTTTTTTCCAAAACACTAAAAATAGTTTTGACAAATTCTGATTTGTGTGCAAGAAAAGCACAAACTGCTTTTCTTTTATCAATTTAGCTTTTGGTTTGGAAGGAGTTGAAGCTGGAAATACTGTAGCGACTGACTGATGAGGATATGGGAGAGCCTAAGTCTAAACTGTTCCTGCGGGAGCTTCGTCGTGAGCCACTCCGGGAGCCTGTGGTGGATCCTGGGGCAGAGGCAACATTGTATGGACTACTGATGCCTCTCGAAGACACAGATGACGCCTGGAGCATTTTAACGCCAGTGCTTTCCTCTGTCAGGCAGTTATCCAGAGCCTCTTTGTAAGAGATTTTAAGTTTACTTTTGGGGCATGTTAGGTTCTTTGTGTGGTATTTCGTATCTTGGAGCTTCTGGCCTGCTCTCCCATCCAGCCAACCCATTTTCAAGGCATCTTCTATGGTTCTTCTACCACCCATTTCTGGGTCATACAGACCTCCTGTTACAACTTGGAACTCCATGAATCTCTGTCCTGCTTCATATGGCAGCCACATCTCCTTAACTGCCTCAGGAACTGACATTTTTCTCTTCATTTTTACATCTTCAAAGCCAATATAGGCTTTTTGAGCAGCCTTAAGTTTAGTGGCCATGTCTTCAGTTATTATGCCCATACGACATGCCTCTTGGATGCTGACCCTTCTGCCACTTGCAGGATCAACAATTCCTCCAGTGCACGCCTGGGCCTCAAGCAGTCTCTGGGTAGTGATGGAATCCACTAGATCACGATTTAACGCCTCTGTGACAGATATCTTCTCTACGTTGTCTGTGTCAAAAATGGCACCAATAGGTTCTTGTTCACCCACTATTTCAACAGGAGAGGACAGAGTGAAAGATACACTGGACATGTGTTTATGGAAATCAGGTGAATCTTGCGAAACACTGCTGGCGCTTCTCTCTGTGACAGTGGTCGTCTTTGTTGTGGTCATTTTAGCGAGAGTGGGAGATAAGGGTCTTGACACCAGTGAGGATGATCGTGAGGATGATGTCGACAAAGAGGGAACTGAGCCTTCTGATGTTCTTAAATTTGATGATGAAGATGTTTTTGTAGTTGTTGATGATGATGTTACTGAAGATATTCCCAAAGGTGTTCTTGAAGTTGTTGATGATGATGATTTCACTGAAGATGTGCCCAAGGCAGCTGGTTGTCCAAACGATGAGCTATGTTTGGTCTTTCTGGTGATGATATCAGCGAATTCATTAATGGTGATGGCTCGTGCACGATACTGAGCTACAACTGATTCATCAATTAATCGCTTTTCAAGCAGTTCTGTAATGTCATACTGTCTTCCAGTTTTCTTGTCATTAATAAGAAACTTTACAGAACCATCTGGAGCAGTAATGGTGACCTCTTCCCATTCACACTCTTGGTCGGACAGCTCCAAGAAGGTCTCGTAGTCAATAAGCCCTTTGTCATATGCTTCTCGGACTGTCATCTCTTTATTGGTGTCTGGGTCCACGATCAATACTCTCCTCTTCCTCAGAGTGTTCTTCTGTGTTGACTCTTGACTTTTCTTGTCGATTATAGGCAAAAGCATGAGGCCGGTCTTCTTATCTGGGATACACCGGTTCTTAAGCTCTGTGTAGGTTAGGTTTTCTTCCGTATTAGGGTCAAAGAAACCTTTAGTATCAGCATTCTGATCAGAGAGGATCTTAATCATTCCGTCATCCAGGTAGCCTCTTTTGTAGGCTACATTCACATCAATACGATGACTGTGTTCTGGATCAATGATACCACCACTGGCAATTTGGGCCTCTAGTAGACGAATGCCATGGCCTTTCTCCACTAGACCTTTCTCAATGGCCTGAAAGAGAGAGATAGTCTTGTCTGTACCAGGCAGTCTGTAACCAGTCACAGCCCTTTCTGCCGCTAGCAGGTTATCTTTAAACTCTGGCCCAAACAGTCTTCTATTGTAGGCTTCACTAACAGTTAGATAGAGATTGTTCACAGGATCAACTATAAAACCTGAGGCAGCCTGAGCTTCAAGCAGTTCAAGAGTGGTCCCAGATTTCAACAGTCCATCTTTCATTGCCTGATAAATTGTCAGTACTTTATCACTGGCCTGATCATAAACTCCTGCTATGCAGGTGGAACCTCTCAGATAGGAGCGTAGACGCTCTTCAACCTCTTGGCTAGTCAATCTACCTTGATTCAACTTGTCAATATCAGACCGCTGCAGCAAGTTTGCATCCACTAGATCCACAACAGACACCTGGCCCCTAAGCCCCTGGACAGTTGCTGGCTTTTTAGGTTCAGGGAGAAGCAAAAGACCTGTGCTTGGATCAGCTTTACATTTTTTCTTCAGGGATACATAAGGAGTTCCTTGCTTGGTGTCTGGGTCCAGATAACAGTCAGGACCCTGACTCAAGGCATGGTATAGATCCTGATCTATGAGATTCCTATTTAGTGCAATGTTTTTGGGTAGGAATATACTGAGGTCAGGGTCCAATATACCCCCTACAGACTCTTGAGCTTGAAGCACACGCAGAGCTGTGTCCTTGTCAATTAATCCCTTCTTCATGGCCTGGCCAGCTGACAGAAGTTTGCCAGTAGTAAGGTCTTTGTAGCCTATAGCAGCAGCTTCCGCTGCAAACAATTTTGATTCATCCTCTTTATCCACTACTCCTCTGGCACATGCTTCTTTGACTGTTAGTTTCTGGTTAGTTCTGGGGTCAATGATGTGACCTGTGGCAGCCTGAGCTTCCAGTAGCATGTCAGCACTATCAGATGACAGAATTTTCATTTTCTTTGCCTCTGTAAAGGACATTTTCCTTGAAGGCCCAACTGCCACACCAGCAATGGATCCAGTCCCTTTTAGAAAGACTTTCTTATCCACAGAGACTTCTGGGACTGTTTTCTTTCCCTTCAGTAGTTGGTCAAACGTTGATTTGTCCAGGACCCCACAATCAAGCAACTGCTGTGCTGAGACTGGTTTGCGAACACCATCAAACATTAGTTTGGAAGGGTCCTTCCTCTCGGTGACTGGTAAAAG